TCCAATACAGTGCTCAGTCAAAGCTCCCAATGTGTAATCAAAGTCCTTAGAAAACAAGAGTGTCCTTCTCATAGCAGGTTACTATGAAAAAAAAACTTCAAAAAAGAGTAAAAAACTCTGAATCCGTTTTCACTGTTTACTTAGCGATGAATCACAACAATATTGAAAAACAGTGGTCTTCTCCAAAACACCACCACCTCTGGTCTCCAGCACCTCCACATGTGTAATAACAGCTGGATGCTTACCCTCATAAATGGTGCTCTTATATTACAGGAGGTCAAAGAATGCTTGCAAGGAATGACAGTTTCAGACAACAAGCCACCGTGATGGAGAGGTAAATTCACAATCCACTTCCTTTTTAGGCCAACAAATTCTGACCTCTGTTCCTGCCTCAAAAAAGAATCCACAACAGCACAGCTAAACAGGATTGCAGCTTCAAATCACCTGGGACCTTCCACCTTGCTTCAAGGATTTCAATCAGGAACTTGATACACAGTCACAGAGTTGAAACAGAAACTGTCTTATTTAAAACAAAGTAAAAACAATTACAAATTTCAGCTCTAGCATTCCTGACATGTTTCATCTGTTGACTTCATAAGAATAATCTTATTTATTTATTTCAGGTACTTATATAGCGCCATCAATTTACACAGCGCTTTACATATATATTGTACATTCACATCACTCCCTAACCCTTAAGAGGCGTACAATCTAAGGTCCCTAACTCACATTCATACATACTTAATAGGGCCAATTTAGACAGGAGCCAATTAACCTACCTGATGAACTCTTCTATTGACTGCACGCTACAACAGCATTTGTATTTTTGTATTTTTAAATAGCCTACTCTGACTATGTAAAAATATGTGCTAATGAACCGTTCTGAGCCCCAATAAGCCAACCTAAGGCCAAGTCAGGCTCTGGCCAGATTTCTAGGAATGTTCATGAACTATGGAAGGCTGATGGGGTATTATATTTAGCCTTTGTTCTGTCTAAACAGAAGGAGGCTGCTTTCTGACAGGTAAAAAAAAACATGCATACTTTCACAATTTCATAGTTGGTAAGGTTGAGTAAATACACCAGTCCATCTAGTGTGTGCAGGGCTGCTGTTAGAAACCACGGGGCCCCATACAGCCAACCTGAAAGGGCCCTCACAAATAAACACAGTTTACAGTGCTTCAGTTATGAATGAACACAGTGAGTGATCTGTACCAATCACTCATTGTGTTCATTCTGGAAAGGAGGTAGCTGGTAAATGTGCCATATTTACTGGACCCTTCCCCCACTCTCCATCCTGAAGGATCATATTGTGTACTTGCAGCTGCCAGTGGGAAGGAGAGGAGGGAAGCTGGCAGCACTGCAGGGGTGGGGGCACACAGGAGGCCTGGGCAGAAGAGAGAAACATATGGTGCACAGGGAGGTGACCGGTATGGCGGGAGGAAGAGGAGAAGAATCCAGCTTTCAGTTTCTGCAGAGAGCCATACAGGGGATCATTTCTAGTAATCACCCTCCCTGTCCACATCCAATTCACTCAGATGCCTGTGACCCCCTGCTAGCCTGGGCCCCGTACAGGAGGACAGGTGGTACCCCCTTATCCACAGCCCTGAGTGTGCGTATCTGTGTCTCTACCACTTTCCATATCCATGTATATTGTGTTCAATAAGATGCCTCTCTAAAAGGTTTTTGAAATTTGCAACACTTCCTGCTGAAACCACCGATTGTGGAAAGGAGTTTCGCATCCTTACTGCTTTGACAGTAAAGAGCCCCCTGTGCAGTTTAAGGTTAAACTGCTTTTCCTCCAACTTTATTGAGTGACCACGTGTTTTTTTTTTGAGTGACCTGAGAATGAATAGTTTCCTCCCAATGTTGGAATCACCATTAAGATATTTGTATAAAACTATCATATGTCTTCTCCAAGAAGAAGTTAAATGTTTGTAATCGTTCCTTATAACTGAGTCTCCAGTCCCCTGGTTTTGTTGCCCTTCTCTGGACTCTCTCTGGTTCCAGCAAATCCTTCCTGAGGACTGGTGACCAGAACATACTCTCTTTGCCATGCTCTCATGTCTCTTTGTCATGCACTCACACAATCAGTGTGTTGGGAATTATAGGGTAGAGTGACTAATCACCTGCCTTGGACCCAAATCAGATGACTATCATGCTACATGGGATACAGAGTACTCCATATATGAGAATCCAATTTAAAAAAAGACACCAGCTTTCACTTTACAAAATATGAATTGCAGATTATATTTTAAACCAATTTTTAGGTACATAATTGTCCTTCAAATTCCTGTTTATTTGGTTGTTCTGACATTACAGGTGTATGTAGCATCCTGAGGTCCAATTATGAATATTTTCACACATGATTCACACAATTTTCACTCTGGATTCATACATTTTTCCAACTCCATTTAATAATGTGTGAATCTTGGGTGAAAGTTCTGTGACATCTTTTGCCATATGTTCTTCGGTTTTATGTACTTTTATTCACTTGGTATTTAATAAATACTACACTATTGGAAGTTTATTTTGCACCTGGCGAGCTTTATTTCACTACAACACGGCCAGACAGAATGACACATATTTACAGAGTCTCATGTCAAGATATATGCATTCCTGCTTAAATATATGGGCGTTTATGCTGTTGTAATGACAGCCATCATTTCTGGTCAGTTTTCAATTCAGTGGAAGACTGTGACGGCAATTTTGATTGGAGTTGATTTGCTATAAGAAAGAGCACTTTATGGTGGATGGATATCATTTCAGCATATTTTTAATTAATTTTTGTTTGCACCATTGTTTTTTGACCTCACAGACATTTATTTATTTTATTTTGATGCGCTTTAATTTGATCAATATATGTTTAATGTTTAATGCTACACTTCACATCTCCAGTTATTATATAGGTGGGTATACTACCTATTGGTGTTAGCTGCTTTGTATTTTCAGTCAGCGTGGATGTTGTTCATCATATTTTATGTATGAAAAAATGTCTAGATAGATCCCAATGTATAGCCCTAGAAGGGTACATGGTAGAGATGTTGGTAATATGTGGCATAGTCATAATCTTCTGCAGGAATGAGATTTTATAATAATAAAAGGTGATTTTATATACAGAGTATATAAAATGGAATTCCCTGACTTCAAAGTAAATATAGTATAAAAGTATAAATAGGATATATATATATATATATATATATATATATATATATATACAGTGGGGCAAAATCCAGACAATCACATTGGCTGATTTGGAAAGAATTTATTTGCAAATTATGGTGGAAAATAAGTATTTGGTCACCTACAAACAAGCAAGATTTCTGGCTCTCACAGACCTGTACCTTCTTCTTTAAGAGGCTCCTCTGTCCTGCACTCATTACCTGTAACAATGGCACCTGTTTGAACTTGTTATCAGTATAAAAGACACCTGTCCACAACCTCAAACAGTCACACTCCAAACTCCCTATGGTGAAGATCAAAGAGCTGTTGAAGGATACCATAAACAAAATTGTAGACTTGCACCAGGCTGGGAAGACTGAATCTGCAATAGGCAAGCAGCTTGGTGTGAACAAATCAACTGTGGGAGCAATAATTAGAAAATGGAAGACATACAAGACCACTGATAATCTCCTTCGATCTGGGGCTCCACACAAGATCTCACCCCGTGGGGTCAAAATGATCACAAGAACGGTGAGCAAAAATCCCAGGACCACACGGGGGACCTAGTGAATGACCTGCAGAGAGCTGGGACCAACGTAACAAAGGCTACCATCAGTAACACTACGCCGCCAGGGACTCAGATCCTGCAGTGCCAGACGTGTCCCCCTGCTTAAGCCAGTACATGTCCGGGCCCGTCTGAAGTTTGCTAGAGAGCATTTGGATGATCCAGAAGAGGATTCGGAGAATGTCAGATGAATCCAAAATAGAACTGTTTGGTAGAAACACAACTCGTCGTGTTTGGAGGAGAGAGAATGCAGAGTTGCATCCAAAGAACACCATACCTACTGTGAAGCATGGGGGTGGCAAAATCATGCTTTGGGGCTGTTTCTCCACAAAGGGACCAGGACGACTGATCCATGTACAGGACACAATGAATGGGGCCATGTATCCTGAGATTTTGAGTGCAAACCTCCTTCCATCAGCAAGGGCATTGAAGATGAAATGTGGCTGGGTCTTCCAACATGACAATGATCCCAAACATACCGCCCGGGCAACAAAGGAGTGGCTTCGTAAGAAGCATTTCAAGGTCCTGGAGTGGCCTAGCCAGTCTCCAGATCTCAACCCCATAGAAAACCTTTGCAGGGAGTTAAAAGTCTGTGTTGCCCAGTGACAGCCCCAAAACATCACTGCTCTAGAGGAGATCTGCATGGAGGAATGGGCCAACATACCAGCAACAGTGTGTGCCAACCTTGTGAAGACTTACAGGAAACATTTGACCTCTGTCATTGCCAACAAAGGATATATAACAAAGTATTGAGATGAACTTTTGATATTGACCAAATACTTATTTTCCACCATAATTTGCAAATAAATTCTTTCCAAATCAGCCAATGTGATTGTCTGGATTTTTTTCTCTCATTTTGTCTCTCATAGTTGAGGTCTACCTCTGATGCCAATTACAGGCCTCTCTCATCTTTTCAAGTGGGAGAACTTGCACAATTGGTGGCTGACTAAATACTTTTTTGCCCCACTGTGTGTATATATATATATATATATATATATATATATATATATCCTTTTTATACTATAATTACTATGAAGTCAGAGCATTCCATTTTTTATAGTATTGTTTTGTCTGAGAGGTGTGTTCTTGAAAAGTTTTAGCCCAATTATGGTATACAGTATATAGATTTTATTTTTTTATGAAAACAGCAAAATAGAGTATTTGTGGTAAAAACAAAGCAGGCTTTGCTTTTAATATCTGCTTTTTTGCAGTTGCTTTGCCCTTTTTAAAAGTTTTATGGCTGTAATTTACATGTGTTTTTTTTTTCTAGGTGGCGATGGTGGAGGTCCAACTAGAAATGAAATATGACTACCCCCAGCCATTGCTTGTGGCATTTAGTGCTTGCACTACTGTACTGGTGGCTGTTCACCTATTTGCACTTCTGATCAGCACATGCATCCTTCCCAATGTTGAGGCTGTGAGTAACATCCACAACCTGAACTCTGTCAATGAATCCCCACATGATCGCATGCATTACTATATTGAGCTGGCCTGGGGCTTCTCCACAGCTCTTGGGATCCTTCTTTTTCTGGCCGAGGTGGTTCTTCTGTGCTGGATAAAGTTCTTACCCATCGACTCTCCTCAAATCCGCAATGAAACAGCCACCCCACAAAAACAAAGTGGAAATGCGGGTTGGAACTCTGCACTAGTCTCCACCATCATCATGGTCCCTGTTGGTATCATCTTTGTCATATTCACCATTCACTTTTATCGCACGTTGGTGAGGCACAAAACCGAGCGCCACCACCGAGAAATTGAAGAGCTCCACAAACTGAAAATCCAGCTTGATGGACATGACCGGGGCATAAATGTAGTGTGAAGCTGGAGGAGTGGAAACGTTTTTCAGCAAGTGCCACTGATCCACTGATCGATCTATGTTGAGCAGTTTGTAAAGCTTGGGCTTTTCACAATGCCCAAACTTATATCCAAGTGGCTCAAAGATTGAATTGCTCCATGCTGCAGCTCATATGTATATTCTTACACCTACTACTGAAAATGGATATAGGACAAAAGGGAAAAAGCAGCAAATACTATACAGTTGCAAACATTGAATAAGTGCCATAAACATGTTTAAAGTGAACCCGTGTTTTACCATGTAGGGCAAAGAAACAGGTTAACTTTAATGTAGACCTCCCTATAAGTGTATACTTGCCTTCCTTTCTCTCACTCACTACTCCATTCGGAGTGAATGAGAGACCTGTGTAAGCTATAGCATACACAAGGCTGTGAATTCGCCACGTGGCAAGCTCTTATACCTGAAAGTACCATATATTTCGTTCAGCTCCTGGCGCTAAACAGAGCAGTGGAGGATTAAAGAAAAGGTAAGCATATGTTCTGGGACTTAGGGCAAAGCACATGTTAGTTTGAAGAGTGTCCAAACCCAAAAACAGAAATGTATAATATTGCAGTTTACCAGCCCTTAGATGTAGTGGCTGCATAAGTTTCTTTTTCAGCTTTTTTGTTCTTTATCCTTTATTGTTAATCCTGCAAATAACAAACTTGCTGTCCCTGGGTTGCTACAATCACTCATTCCACTATATCTATGGAGGGAGTCAGGGTTGTCACACAGGCTCGACTACAAACATGTCTGCCTTTGTTCATCTCTATTATGGGGGGATGTGGAAATCAGTAGTTTAAAGAAGGAAGATAACATTTTCTAAGGCTTCTAGTTCAGGTCACTGGATTTCCTGCAAGATCAACAGGTATTTTCTGTACTTGCTGAAAATATTGTTAGTCTGAAAAGGAAAACAAATGCAGCCAAGGCAAGGACTGGTAAGCTGCAATATATTTGACTTCATTTTTAGGTTTAGGTATACTTTAAGGCACTCAATACTGTGCCAGTAATGGCCTGTTTTGTATTCTATTAGCATTTCACTGATTCTAGAGCCACAGTTCTGCATTTTGGGAAAGTTTTTAAAGGGCCAGTACACTAAAAATTGCTATTCATTTTTGTGTAGGTGTCTCTGTTAATTGCTCTCAGGTCTTCTATGACAATTCTGAGGGGTCCCACCTTTTGTTCTTGTTTACAAAACTATTTTTTATTGTGGGGAGTGAAACAGAAGGAGTCAACATGCTCCTTTTCTAGCGGCAGGTGTGGACAGTAATCAAGAGCGACACTGGGAATTACCCTCTGCTGGAGAACACAAGAGATACATGGAGACAAAGAGGGTGAACTAGGTCACTAGTCTGCACCTGCAGTTAAAATAACTTTCGGTAGTCTAGCACAAGGGTAGGCAACCTTCGGCTCTCTAGCTGTTGTGAGACTACATTTCCCATGAGACATTGCAAAATTGACAGTTACAGCTATGACTTGCAGAGGCATGATGGAACTTGTAGTCCTGCAACAGCTGGAGAGCCGCAGGTTGCCTACCCCTGGTCTAGCATATTAAATATGATATATAATATTCACTAAATAGTTCAATATTTTTGCCTGCTATTTTTTACTGTCTGCAGTATTTGACGTTTAATATACAGTTGCAAGAAAAAGTATGTGAACCCCTTGGGATTACGTGGAGTTTTGCATGAATTGGGCATAAAATGTGCTCTGAATGTCATCTAAGTCACAACAATAGAAGAACACAGTCTGCTGAACATAATACTACACAAACATTAGATGTTGCCATGGTTTAATTGCACATAACATGTAAACATTCACAGTGCAGGGAGGAAGAAGTATGTGAACCTTTGGACTTAATAACTGGTTGACCCTCCTTTGGCAGCAATAACCTCAACCAAACGTTTCCTGTAGTTGCAGATCAGACCTGCACAACGATCTGGAGTAATTTTGGACCACTGCTCTCCACAAAACTGTTTTAGTGTAGCAATATTCTTGGGATGTCTGGTGTGAATTGCTCTCTTAAGGTCATGCCACAGCATTTCAATCGGGTTGAGGTCAGGACTCTGACTGGGCCACTCCAGAAGGCGTATTCTGTGCTGTTGCAGCCATTGTTTTGTTGAATTACTTGTATGCTTTGGGTCATTGTCCTGTTGCATCACCCATCCTCTGCAGAGCTTCAGTTGGTGGACAGATAGTCGTACGTTTTCCTGCAAAATGTCTTGATAAACTCTGGAATTCATTTTCCCATCAATGACAACAATCCGTCCAGGCCCTGAGGCAGCAAAGCAGCCCCAAACCATGATGCTCCCTCCGCCATGTTTTACAGTGGGGATTAGGTTTTGATATTGGTGTGCTGTGCCTTTTTTTCTCCACACATAGTATTGTGTGTTCTTCCCAAACAACTCAATCTTGGTTTCATCTGTCCACAGTATATTTTGCCAGTAGTGCTGTGGAACATCCAGTGTTCTTTTGCAAACTTCAAACGTGCTACAATATTCTTTTTGGACAGCAATGGCTTCCTCCGTGGTGTCCTCCCGTGTACTCCATTCTTGTTTAATGTTTTCCTTATTGTAGATGTGAGAACATAAATGTTAGCATGTGCCAGAGATTTCTGTAGGTCTTTAGCTGACACTCTGGGATTCTTCTTTACCTCATGCAGCATTCTGCGCTGTGCTCTTGCAGTCATTTTTACAGGATGACCATGCCTAGGGAGAGTAGCAACAGTGCTAAACTTTCTCCATTTGTAGACAGTCTGTCTTACCGTGGACACACAAACATCAATGCTTTTGGAGATACTTTTGTAACCCTTTCCAGCTTCATGCAAGTCAACAATTCTTGATCGTAGGTCTTCTGAGAGCTCTTTTCTGCGAGGCATGGTTCACATCAGACAGTGCTTCTTGAAACCAGTAAACCCAAAACAGGTGTGTGTTTTTTAAGGGCAGGACAGCTGTCAGCAACACATCCATATATCATCACACTGATTGGAGTCAAGGTTGGCTCACTCCTGGCTCCAATTAGCTCAGGGAGGAGTCATTAAGCTAGGGCCTCACATACTTTTTCCTCCCTGCACTGTGAATGTTTACATGTTATGTGCAATTAAACCATGGCAACATCTAATGTTTGTGTAGTATTATGTTCAGCAGACTGTGTTCTTCTATTGTTGTGACTTAGATGACGTTCAAGCACATTTTATGCCCAATTCATGCAAAACTCCACATAATCCCAAGGGGTTCACATACTTTTTCTTGCAACTGTACATTCATAAAATATAACTATTTATAATAAATGCATTTATGGGTACATAGAATTGGATCTAGTAAGCAGGCTATTTCATAGATTTTATATTTATTTGAAACACATGAAGATGGAAAAAGGGTTATTCTATACAGTGGAATAAATGTGATGCCAACATCAGCTAACCAAATGAGTTTCTTATGGTTTAACAATTGGCAGTTGCTCGTTTGCTAATGGCAGCACATGCATTGTTGGGACTTCCACTTTTATAGAATACCCCTGCAATATTTCCTAATCTCTACAAAGGTTAAGGGTTCACCTTAGCTAATAACATGGTGCCTTGTATTATAATAGTAGACAAAGCTCTCATAGAAGGGAATTTTTTTATGCGTTGCTTGTTTTTTTACTTTTTTCATAAAAATTGCATTATATCCTGTAGTATGTGAAATGTAAATTTGCAGAAGAATTTATCATAGGTTTTGTAGTAAAGGTACCCATAGACACGACATGATGGTCATTAGACAGCTGCCTACTGAATGATGATCTTTGTATGTTAAAGAAGCTGATACCCCTTTTTACTTCAAACATCATTATCAGTCTTATCTGTTGTGATAGCCCGTGCCATGTACCCCATTCAAATATTGAGAAAAGGCATCAAAATTACATTATAGAACATCAACAGAGATCATTTTCTAAGTGTCTATGGAATGTGCTCGTTACTCACAGAAGAAGGGCTAGACCACCATCTATTTTTATTTTTTTTCAGCAGCCTATTAATGTTTTGCTGTGGGAAGCAATGGGCCTGATTTAGCGAGGCTGAATGCAATGTGTTTCTTTAGCCTGTGCATATACAGCCAGATCAAGTTTCAAAGCAGATACAACAGTAGTCAGATTTACTAAAGTGAGAACCTGAATGAATAGTTCACTTTCAATATGCAGTCATTTTTAACTTGGGGTCCATGCACACTAACTTAACAAAATGCCAGTGCTCTTGTTTCCTTCCCATATACCTTCCAAATATGGGGGAGGAAGAGGAAAAGTGGAACTTTGACTTTTGGGTGACATTTCACTTTAACTCTAGGGATTCCACTAAATACACTGAGGAGATACTGCACATACATCACTCAGCCATAACTTTATGACTACTGACAGATTAAGTAAATAACATTGATTATCCCTTGATAAGGGCATCTGATAGTAATTGGAATATAAAAGGCAACAAGTAAAAATGTTGCACCTGAAGCTGATGTGTTGAAAGTGGACAAAAATGGTCATCGCAGTTTCTTGCGTATAGGGTTGCATAGCTGAAGACCGGTCGGGGTTCACATGTTGACCCATATCTACATCTTAAAGCATCTACAGTGGGCATGTGAACATCAGAAATGGATCACAGAGCAATGGAAGAAGGTGGCCTGATCTAATGAATCACATTTTCTTTCACAGCACATGGATGGCCGTGTGTGTGTCACTTAGTTGGGGAATAGATGGCAGCAGGATGCAGTATGGGATGAAGGCTAGCCAGTGGAGGTAGCGTAAAGCTTTGGGCAACGTTCTGCTGGAAATCTTGGGTCTTGCCAAAACATTGTTGTTGACCCAGTACACCCCTTCATGAAAACTGTATTCCCAGATGGCTGTGGCCACTTTCAGCAGGATAATGCACCCTGCCACACTACAGAAATGGTTCAAGAATGATTTGAGGAACACAACAACGAGTTTGAGGGCTTGACTGGGAATCCTAATTTTCCTGA